GTTCAACGGGGGTGATACTATACAAATATGCATAAAAGAAAATAAAATGAAAACTCAAAAAGTTCAAAGTATCAAAGAAAAAGGTAACAAACTTTATGTCTAGTTGTTCGATACATAGGACTGCATCTATCTCCCGACCCGTTCTGTGGATTGTGACACGTCGTTTCCGCTAGGCAAGTTTTAACGCTTCAAGTTGTTTGCTCTCTAAGAAATTGGTGTTTCGGTGTGTCTTTGGACGAAAGTCGAAAAACTTATTTCGGTGGTCTGGTTCTAAGTCGCTCTTCAAAATAATTGTTTTTTGGGTTGAAGAGGAGTCCTAAATTTGCGTGAATCTTGGTCAGCTATCTTGAGGCGGCTTCAACTCTGGAAACTCAACTCTCCGCTGGAGCCCGAACTGAACTCAACTCAACTCTCCGCTGGAGCCCGAACCGATTTCTGCCTGTTGGGGCCTCGCTTTTATTGACGCCGACCAAAACCGGGGTGGGTCTGTTGGCGTCGGGGGGGTTCCTCGATAATTCTAAATACATATCCACCTCTTTTATTTCTGGTTAGTGATTTTCCACTCTTTTCCATTTTTGGGAACTTTTCCTCACTCCCACTTTCTCACCATACTTCTGAGGGGCGTGAACTGCCCTCCCCACTTCTTCGTAGCAGCTTCTCATACTTATACTCTGGATGTGGCGACGACAGCCTTCTTCGTGCGTCACGTGATCACCACTCGGCCAATGAGGTCTTGGTCGGGTATCTTTCCTCCTCCTTCGTGCGTCACGTGATCACCACTTGACCAATGATGTCTTAGTCGGGCATGAACAATCCGTGGCTTTGTTTCGGGAAGAAAAAAAAATATCTTGCTTAACTAAAAAAAATGATCTCTTCTCTTTCCCTTTTCTTCCTTTTAAATCGCCGTTATCATTTCTCTAGCCACGAACGGACAATATGACAACTCTTGTTTTACACGTGGTGTTTGTCAGGTATTTTATCGCTAATTTATCAAGATGGTGGTCTTCTTAACATGGCTTCAAAAAAGAATTATCCCCAAAGTTTTCAGTCAGTCTGTCGCCTCCAAGGAAGAAAGAAAAACACTTCTGGGTCCCCATTCATTTTCCTTCGGTGCATATTCCTGATAACATAATTTTATTATCGCAGGCCAAAGTTGTTTCGTCGAAAAAAATTTAGTCAGCGGCACTGCTTGTGTGGCATTTAATTTTTCATATCTGTCCAAAGTCCTTTTTAGTGGCCTGTTTCTCGTCACTTATCAAAATAGCATTTTCACTTGAATTTTTCCCTGGCCAGTGGTCCAGCTGTTCGTTTACGCACCTAGATAACACAGCCGTTATCAAAACACATCTGATTCCTTCATTCTTTCCCTTTCTTTTTTTACTCAGAAATTCCCTGTCATTGTAATGACACCCTTTTTCATTTGTTACTTATCAATATTTTCATTGTCTCTTAGCCGTGTGTGTGGCTGCTTATCACCTACGATTCGTCTCGCCTTTCTTTCTGCCTTCCTTTCTTTCTCTTCCTTTCTCTGCCCCGTAAATGGTGCCACATATACCAGCGGATTTATTATATTTCCTATATATATAATTAAGCCACGGATAGCTTCATGATAAGTCCTGTCTCAGTTACTTATTTAACGAATGTAGGTCTCCAGTTGTTATTTTTAGAATCTATATCTATATTCGTTAACAAAACATAATCACGGTAATTTTTAAATGTATCTTTTTCTATTTGGTCTACTTCTATTGTCCTCAGTATGTAAAGATTGCCGACTACTTTTCAGCGAGGAAGAGTGTTAACGAAACTTACCAATTCTAGACGTTGCAGACCTTCGCTTAAAAAAAATTCCTGCCGAAGTAATTTTGGAAGAGGAAATTCATTATTACCTGGTAAATGTCACCGTCTTGCTAACTGCTGATTTGTCACATCACAGGCAAATGAAAATGCACCGCCATATCCTTTCTTACCCCTTTTTTGAGAATCTTGATGGAATCAACTGACCCTGTTAAATATGTCCTATCTTAGAAATGTGATAAATTTCTGCCAACATCTGCAGCTAGTTTTTAGTCATGTTACCTTTCTTTATATATTCTTCTCTATTTTACACACACACACTGGGCGACAATGGCTCTCTACAACTTCCTATGCCTTTTTTTCTCTGAGCAATATTTGTTGTTTCACCACACCTCATAGATCCTGTTCTGCCATCTTATTTACATAAATTCGCTGCTTTTCACTGTCCCGCTTGATTCTACAACCCTTCATTCCCCGTTATAACTAGCCAAGAGTTTTAGACTCAGAGTTTCCTACAGAAGATAGTGAAGGAAAGCAAGAAGAAAGGACTAAACCGCAAGAAGACGGAATGCATGGTTGTTAGCAAAATGGATCAGCCCAACATGAAAATTACAAATTGGAGATACCAAAATCAAACAAGTACAACAATTTAGATATCTGGGAAATGTTTTAACAGAGGAGGGAGAGTTTGGCACTAATATCCAAAGGTGCATTTTGATATCTAAAGATGACTTCCAAAAGCTAAGCCAAGTATTAAAAAACAGGGAAATTTGGTTAGAAACAACGAAAAATGTACCTGTTACGCAATATCTATCCTCTTATTTGGAGTGAATATTGGACAATTTCCTCACAGACGAAGAAGAGATTTGAAGCAACAGAAATATGTTTCTATTGAAGGAAGCTGATCTGAGCAAGTTTTAGAGAAAATGGAAAAAGATATGCAGACTCAATCTTATCATCAAAAATAGAGAGTCCTATGGCACAAAATGAATAAAGAAGGCTTGGAAAATTTGATACTCACAAGGCATGTTGAAGACAAGAGGGGGCGAAGAAATAATCCATAACCAATCAAGCAAGCTTGAGTAAATGGATGGGTGGACAATGTTTAGAAGAGATAACAAAAAGAAAAAAAAACTTAATAAGACCTACAAAGGACAGAAAGTCGTGGAGAGCCATGATCAACAACGTCCTGAAAAGACACGCCACATAGAAGAGGATTTTTTTTACTCTTATGTACACAGAAAAGAAAATACAAAAACTCCTACAGAAGCTAGTGAAGAAAAGTGAGAAAAAGGACTAAACATCAACTGTGGAATGTTAGGTTGTTAGCAAAAGGGATCAGACCAACATGAAAAATTACAAACTGGGGATAACAAAATCAAACAAGTACAACAATTTGAATATCTAAGTAATGTTTTAAAGCGGACGGAAAATTCGACAGTGGAAAGCGAAGACGCATTGAGATAGCAAAGGATATCATGTAGAATATTAAAAGACATAACACTTTAGTTACAAACAAATAAAAGAGTACTGAACTATTACGTAATATCTGAATGTCTTGCATAGCAGTGAATACTGGACAATTTCCTCACGGTTGAAGGCGTCAGAAATGTAGTTCTACAGAAGGCTGCTGAAGATATGTTGTTGAGTGATTTCGCAGTGGAGGCTTGTACTGGTACTAAGTCGGTCCTAAAATAGGTTCGACGTACAAAACGTTAGGAACTTGGTATTACGCAGAGCAATCTGGTCGTGGTCGCTGATACTTTCGTATTCGACTAACGATTGACTGACCGACTCTACTACTCCTACTTATTATAGGTGGGAGAGTCTATTAACTATAGAATAGGTGTGTTCCACCATAACAAAATGTGAACATCAACGAAGTTTTAGAGAAAGTGCAAACAACATCAGCAACAAACCATTGAAATTTCTAGGGCACATAATGAGAAAGGAGGGCTTAGAAAATCTGATACTCACAGGACAGATTGAATGAAAGAAGGACAGATGAAAACAACGCATACCCTACTTAGTGGGCTTGAGTAAATGGATGATGGAACAGGGTTTTGGAGAGATAATAATGTGGAAAGAAGACTCGGAAAATTTAATACTCCGAGGACAAATTGAGGACAAGAGGGACAGAGAAGTACATCACAAAATATACTTAGTAAATGGACGAGAGACAAGGTTTGGGAGAAATAAAAAAGAGAAAAAAATATTAAGAGCTACAAAGACCAGGAAATTTTGTCATCCTGGGTATGACGAGAAAATACATCCGCGTCCTGGGTAAGACGATAAACTACATCCGACAGCAAGGCTTTTTGCGAGGAGCGTGGAACCAGCTCTTAATTGCTGGTTTTCTCAGGTCCACCCTGACCCGGGTTGTTGCACCTGTTAGGGTACCAGGGTAAATAGTTAACCCCCAAACTTGGGTCAAAACACAATGAAAGTGTAAAGGTAGTTTTTAATACAGTTTTGTAAAAATATTACCAGCAATGAATATTGAAGGAAAAATATTACCAGCAATACATTTAAAAAAATAATATTACTAGCAATAAAAATCTTGTCGGTATTAAATAATCCATTGAGGCTGATATGCCGTAAAACAAAACAAATAAATAAACAGAAAATTTTGGAGAGCCATGATTGCATACCTCCTGAAAGGGCACTGCACATAGAAGAATTTCTTCTCCTAGACTGGCTGCCAACTAAGGCTACAGAACCCAGTCTGCACTGTTGTTTAAGCCATAGATTGTTTTTTTTTGTTTTTTTTTGTTTTTGTTTTTTGTTTTTTTTAGATAAGATGGATCTATATTTTCTCTAAGTAAACCTGAAAGTGCCAGATTCGGACAGAATTTGAAATCGGCTCGCCGATTCCATTTTTAGCCCTTATCATCGTTACGTTACACAAGGAATTATTGTAGAATTATTCCAGATGTGATCATAATCAGATTAAAAACGATTGAAATATTTCTCTGTACTTGTGAATATTTAGTTGCAATTTTCTCAACATAACTGAAATTTAGTACAAGCCTACACAGTTAGGATCGAACTCACTGGTTAGTCAAGATTTGCAAGACCAGCACCTATCCCAATTGATTAGTTGAGGTTGGTAACTAGCGACTAGTATGGAACTGCTGTCGCTGTTCTGTCGACGTGTTTATTCGCTACAATATTTTGCTATTGGTCAGTTAATAGGTCAAACTGACCATCGTATGTGAATCTGATGTTGTACTCTCGTAGGAGAGAGTAAAAAATAATTGTGTGTTGGTGCATATCTTTGTAGTGGAAATATTGTACGCCTTGGTCACCAGCGAAGCGGTAGTTGGCCCACTGCCCTTCGGTGTAGGGTCAGCGGTAAAGCGGAAACGGGGATTGGGAGGGTGGATGGACAAAAGAACAGGGTGGGGGTTTCTGGGGTGTGGTCTTAATAAATCTCTAGATGGGAACGAAACATAAAAAAAAACGATTATTTTACACAGAGAAAGCAAAACAAGTTCCTCGAAAGGCGGAATACGTCCATTCATTAAAAGCACACAAAAAAAAAAATTGGACAAACTCGAGTATGAGTCGATGTATAAATGAACACTTGATTCTGGGCCAAAACATTAAAGTGAATGGAACATCAAAATAAAAATAAAACATCATTGTTTTTGTTATTAAAAAGTCTTCAGACACGTTCAATGAAATTCTCCCTAACTTGTAAAACCAGCATTTACCTACATTTTTAATTCTGACTTTATGTACCCTCTCTTAAATTTCGGAAAAGAGGTGACAATCTATTTTTAAATTTCCATAAAAATCATTTAATCGCCATTTACTTATCATCGCCTGAAGAAGGACAATCAAAGTATTGAAGCATGAAAGATTTTGTGTATCGGTTTCAAAATGTTTTTATTTAATCATTCAATCGTCAGATAGTCATCGCCTCAAGAAGCACACTCAAAGTATTGAAACATAAAAGCTTTTGTGTATCGATTTCATCATGTTTTTATTATAATGTCTTATAATAAAAATATAATAATAATAATATATTTCTCTACTTTGTATTGAGCACGTTTTTAAGATGAAATGCTACGAACAGTGGATTTCCAATTCATATGGTCTTTCTCTCTCTCTCTTATATATATATATATATATATATATATATATATATTGTGTATATTTAGGCAGCAATTTTTCATTAATGCATTCATTAATTAATATTGACAAGTTTTGTCCATTTATTTTAAATAAGTTCCTTTCATATTGTCTGATAAGCTTAATCACATTATCATTGAAAGACGAAAGGAAAACACCATATTGATACATGTTTAAATCCGGTCTAAGCTTTCGGCTTACATAAACCATTATCAAAGATGACAATTTCAATATATCAAACAACACACGGACGAAACAACAATGATAGTCCGCCCTTGCTGCATGAAAAATTTCAAAGCAAAGTCAAACTCGTGTATACGAGACGAGGAAGCGAAAATCGCGTCGCAGATCGTGACGTCACACATGGCCACGCGACAGCGAAAGACGAGAAGTATTAAGTATGCGAAGCCGTTGGTACTTTCGTCTGTGTGAACATTGAATTCAACACTCAGAGGCGACCGGATGTTGCCTCTGAGTGATTTTCCCCCCTCAGATTTGGTCATTTGCAGTGGCGTGCAGTAATAAGAATCTATTTTCGGGATGCATAATGAAATTTCTTTGGCTCTGAAAAATATTGCGTCATCTGTGATTGCATTAGTTTTTTTTTTTTTATCACGCCCAGACTCTACTGTCTCGACTGTCGATTAGTTGTCCTACGGCCATTGTCTGCGATGGACATTACTCCAAGGAAGCATACGAAAGTTGTAACACTGGCAAGTCTTACCAGTGAGCAAATCAATATACTATAGACTGGCCCTTTAAATTCAATCCTGAAAATTTTAGATTCTCAAGTTTTCATTACTGGAATTGTTTTCGATGATATTTTAAGTGATTTTTTGCGACGAATATATTTTTTTTTTACGATAACAATTTTTGTAAGTTGGAAATACATTTGAGAATACTCAAAATAAATTGCAAAATGAAGTAAAAGTCATGTATGAAATCAAAATAATTATTTCTGCGGAAAGTAAGAAGATATGTACATCAAATTGTCTTTAAATTAAATAGCGGCAGAATAATTATCGTTGAACTTTTAAAAGGTAAGCTGAAATATTAATGTAATGTTTAAATGAAGAGATCAATTTTGAGTTCATCTATAGTTTATTGTTGCCTATCGCATCAACTTCTAGCCACCCATTTTGATGAAGACTCAATCAAGAGCCCTACGCAAGAGCTAGTTTAAATGCTGGCTTTTAAGCTAGTATATATATAAACATATATACATACATACATACACACACACACATATATATATGTATATATATATATATATATATATATATATATATATATACACACCTACCTACTCAATAACGGAAAGTGTTTAACGTCCAGATTATCTCGACACAACAAAAAAAAAAACGATTCAGAACGTGAATTCTTAACAAACGATTGCCCGAGTCGTTACTCGAGTTTCAGACGACTAGAACGCCTTTTATATATATATATATATATATATATATATATATATATATATATATATATATATATATATATATATATATATATAGTTGTGTGTGTTTGTATGTATGTATGTATGTGTGTGTGTGTTTTGAACAATGAAAATATTAAAAAATTAAAATCTTCAGACACACTGGGTTGTATATTAATATTCTTTCGTTTTTATTATTTCAATTATTATTATATATAATATTTTTATTATTTTCAGTTAGATTCCTCCACACACACACACACACACACACACGAACGCAGACACACATACACACATATATATATATATTCATTTCTGTAGTTCACTGCTAATAACAAGTAGATTTTTTTTCTCCTGATGATGGCCATGCTGGCCGAAACTATTACTTGTTAAACATCATCAGGAGAAATAAAATCTACTTGTTAGTAGCAGTGAACTACAGAAATGAATATATATAAATGAATATTTATAAAAAATATATATGTGTGTGTATGTCTGTGTGTGTGTGTTTTGGAAGCCATTTATCTTACCTGTTGATCTAAACTGTAAATAATTTACTGCTCAGCAATAATATACACCAGAATGAAAATTATACACGGCCACGTCACAGTGAAATACCGGTTAAGTTAAGCAACGTTGAGTCGGGTCAATAGATAGATGGGTGACCGTTTGGGAATATTAGGTGTTGTAAACTTGGATGTTCGGGCGGTGTAAAGGCAGATGCGAAGCGCCGAGTTTCAAATCCCATTGAGTTCGTTCTATTTACTTATGCCCCGATAACCTTGGGAAAATTATGAATCCAGCTCTTCCACTCACAGCTTAGGGGATAATTATTAAGACATGTATCCCTAAACCTTTAGTATCCCCTTCTCACCGGAAAAAAATAGAATCTCAAAATAATATCTGGCTTTAAATAACGTGCAGTGAGTTGAAAAGCCGTAAAAAAAGCAATCAATCGATTGTTTAATAACAAAGAAACAGGGAAATATTGAATGTGAATGAAGCGTTTTGACGAACTAGTTGTCGGATTAAAAGCATTGAACAAGTGAACTTACATTGGTATATTATTAAACATGACTATTGTTCCTGATTTCATGTTATTGTATAAAAACCGATGTATTCTGACGTCACTACTTGACAACAAACCAACTGCTTGCTAGTAGTCATGTTTAATGACTAGTGAGTGACTAGTATGGATTTGATGTCGCTTACGTAATTAACTTATACTTTCCACATTTGTGTCTGTTTGACCTACAAACTGACCAAGAGATCTGCGAGAAAGAAAGGGGGTCAGAAATAAGAGATTCTCCAGAACAACTGTAGCTAGTGAGATTGTGTAACACTGGCGGTAAAAGAGAACGTTGCTTTTTGGTAAGATAAACTGACAAGATAAACGAAACAACAAAAAAAAAAAAATGCGGGAAAATATATGAGAGAGAATTTAAAGATAATACGATGGTTAGTCTGGGTAAGGGGGAACAAAATAATTTTTCCTGGATATTGTAGATCACTTTCATTCGCAATTTAATATTCTATCTCGGCATTAGATAAATTTGTAACAAAATTGCCTCTTATCTCAGGCTCTCTCTATCTCTATCTCTCTCTCTCTCTCTCTCTCTCTCTCTACTATATATATATATATATATATATATATATATATATATGTGTGTGTGTGTGTGTGTGTGTGTGTGTGTGTGTGTATGTGTGTGTAGACAGCTAGATAGACAGATAGACGGACAGATAGAGATATAATAAGAGACTAAGAAAGATAAATCGATAAATTGATATGAAGAGATTGACATATATATATATATATATATATATATATATATATATATATATATATATATATATATATATATATATATATAAAGATAGATAGATAGATAATGAACATAGATAGATAGATAGATAGATAGATAGATAGATCATGAACAGACTGATGTGTATATATATATATATATATATATAGAGAGAGAGAGAGGAAGAGACAGACAGAGATAGATAGATAGATAGATAGATAGATAGATAGATAGATAGATAGATAGATAGATCGTGAACAAACTGAAATACATATATATATATACACACACGCACACATATATATGTATGTATATATATATATATATATATATATATATATATATATATAGATAGATAGATAGATAGATAGATAGATAGATAGATCTGAAGAGACTGAGAAAGATAGATAAATAGATGAAGATATAGGAACTAATTGACATAGATAGATAAATAGATAGACTGATAATGAACAGAGATAAATATGAAAAGACTGTGATAGATAGATAGATAGATAGATAGATAGATAGATAGATAGATAGATAGATAGATCATGAACAAACTGAAATATATATATATATATATATATATAGAGAGAGAGAGAGAGAGAGAGAGAGTGATAGATAGATAGATAGATAGATAGATAGATAGATAGATAGATAGATATGATGTAAATTAATTTTGACGGGAGAAAGATAATATATTTATTTGCTCATCTCATACGTGCGAAACAGGTAAATCCAGACCCCATTTCGTGTCAAGCCAAATATAATCGGTAAAAAAAAATAAAAAAAATCCCCCCCCCAAAAAAATCCTGCGGATTTAAGATCGCAATGTGCATTCTGAATCGTCACCTTATTTTTGTTTTGTTTATCTTCTTGGTATTCATTCGTTCAACTAATTAGTCAACCTGACGACAATATTTCTTCCTTGTCTTCCCGTTTTCTTTTTCATCTTTTTCTACACACATCCATGCCTTTTTCTTTTCTTCTTCTTCTTCTTTCCGTTTCTTAAGGACACCACTCACGTCTTTCGCTAAGTTAACCACCGTCACTAACCTAATATGTGTCACTTTTCTAAATTCTCTCTTTTCCACTATACCCACTCTCCCATAAGATTTCAGTAACTCGTGTAGTCCTTGCAGTGGTCAGTTTATACTAGTGGCTGACCAATGGGCAGTCCTTGGTCTAAAGTCATTAATACCAAACAGCGACACCAATTCTGAATTAAGCATCAGTACCAAGTGACCAACCAAATGTACTAAATTTTGTTTATCTTGTCGTTGGTAACCAAGTGTACTGAATTGTTACGTAGATATCTGTCCTTGTCTATTGCAGGAAATGCTTGACAATCTCCTCACAGATGATGAGGCACCAGAAGACGTGGTACTTCAGAATGATGTTTCGCATACTATAGATCGAGTGTATAGGAAACTAAAACATTATACGACAAATGGAATCAAAAAGGCTACAGAATCAGAAAGAGACAGATAATGAAGAAAGTAATCTTGAAGAATTTGACAATAACCCCTTTCCCACAGACGAAACTTTGTTAACCACTTTTCATAGCAGATGCCCAGCTAAGCTAGATTTCATAGCAGATACCCAGGTAAGCTAGATTTCATAGCAGATACCCAGGTAAGCTAGATTTCATAGCAGATACCCAGGTAAACTACATTCTTAAGTTCCATCAGTTCAGATGTTCACAGCTTGGACCTACCATACCATATACACAGGGTCGATTCATACTAATTCCTTTCATATTCTATTGCAAACGAAGAACGTTCACTCGGATAGATACTTCCTCCAGAACTATCATCTTTTGGGACAGTCTCCCTGAAGAGTGCTACTTTTATCTATCTATCTATCTATCTATCTATCTATCTATCTATCTATCTATCTATCTATCTATCTCAGTGCGTTCATGATCTATCTATCTATCTATCTATCTATCTATCTATCTATCTATCTATCTATCTGTCTGTCTGTCTTAACCTCTTCAATTTTAGGGTCGACCGTAATCTATCCTACGTGTCCTCATCATATGAAGATCTTAATCTCATCTTATACAAAAACCTCATTCAGTAAACGTCTACTTCGAGTGGCTTCTGAGCCTTACGTTGGGTGAAACATTGTACGAAATAAAAGATATATTGAAGACAAGAGGAAGAGAAGAGGAAGACAAATGAATGGCAGCTCAGAGAAGTAGAGGGATTTTGACTAAAAGATAAACATTGAAAAAATGTACAAAGGATAGGACGCTGATTTTTTGGTTTTTTAAAGGCATATCAACACGTCATGGGTCATTTAATGCCAAAATTTAATTTCCTTTGGAGTTTTGGCATTTTCTTACTATTAAAATCGATTGCAGGACATTTGTTTTTCCAATATTAAAATCAATTACTGGAATTTTTTTCTTAATATTAAAATCTGTTGCAGGAAATTTTTACTATAAGAATGTAATTTATACATTTATAGTGTTTGTGTTTTCACCATTTGCTCATACTTGGGACCCTAACAGGTGCTACCACTCCGAGTCAGGGTGGACCTGGGAACAGCAGTAATTTAGAGTTAGTTCCACGCTCCTCAAAACCTCCCGATCAAAGACTTTGCTGCCGGATGTAGATACCTAGGATGTGATAGGAAGTTGTGGAGAGCCATGATCGTAAACATGATGAAGTGTCATTCTGCATAGAAAAAAAATAATCCCACTATTTTAAAAACATTTTAATGATTAAAGTTACAAACACTTATTTAATAAAAATGCAATATTGATTTTTACATATCTTTTTTTTTTAACTTTTATAAACACAAAAATACAGTTTCCAGTTCGCTCTGTGTTTGCGAGAAATATAAACAAATGAAAAGACCAAACGTTTCGAAAAGTTCGCTTCAGAAAGAAATTTTGACGCATGGCCAGTTGTATGTTGCCTGTTCAAGAGTAAGAAATTATTCTTCGCTGTTAAAACAGAAAAAAAAAACAGAAATTTACTATGAAGTTTGATAAAATTAATTTAAATTCAAGAAATTATTAAACCGCAAAGTAGAGTTTTTGTCAACGTATTTTTTCAAATAAATCAGTTTATTCAAATTTTATCGATTGGTTTGCGAAATTGAACGAAACGTAGATTTTGTAAATGTTAGCGATAATTTCAACAAAACTGAATGATGTAAGGATTTCAACAGGTGGCAGCTTGTTGCCAAAAGTTTCTAGTACTTAAAATTTCAGAAAACACTTCTTCTTCATTTTTCTTTTGAGAAGTATGTGTGTGCGTCGAGAAATTATTCATAATTTTTATTTTTCCTAGATTTTTCAACTAATAAATTAGACGTTTTCAAAATGAGGCTAATTTTCATTGTATGCTTACCTGCGACATGTATTCTTTGAACAGCATCTCGTATTAAGAGAGCCAACATATCATACTTGTATTCGAAAAATAAGGAAAATCTTTTTCAAGAATGAAATTACTACTACAAAAAAATATCTCTAACAGGTAAAGGAGTACAAAATACGATTGGTTTTACTAGGGTGTTCAGATTAGTACAATACATTTTCATAAATAATTTTTGGAAAAATTAAGTTTTATTATTTAACATCCAAAATACTCCCACTTAAAAAAAACAACAACAACAATTTAATGATTAAAATAACAAATATTTATTTAAGAAATCCTAAGAATTTATTCTTCGCTGTGAAAAAGGAAAAAAGAAATGTTCTTAAAATATTGTTTAACATGGAGTTTTATAATATTAAATTAAATTAAAGAAATTATAAAACTGCAAATAGGTTTTTTGTCAAAGTATTTTTTTCAAACAAATCAGCTTTTTCAAATTTCATTGATTGTTTTAAGAAATTAAACGAAACGTACAGTTTGTAAATCTCAACCAAAAATGTTAGCGATTACTTCAACATTAATAAATAACACATCCATAGATATGCAACCCCTGAAGTTGGTCTCAGATGAGATCGAAAGTACTTGGGAAAATAAAAAATATTATTATTAATTTCCTTTATCAATTTTCTACAGCCACCAAGAAATTAATTCGTGGGTTTGAAAGGATTAAAACTAAAATGGATATAATACGTTAAATTATTTAAACAAATAATACGTTAAATTATTTAACCAAAAACGCTTGAATTAATATATGCTGCCTAAATATACATATGTATATATATGTACATGTATTGTTAAATATAATACACAACGAATGTCTATTATATTTTTATTAGGAGAAAATAAAGACAAAAACTGTCCAAGGTTTGCATATTTCTTTATTGTGTAGTTTATCGATTCCTAGGTTTCGGCTGACATGAGCCATCATCAGAGCGGTCATTTGGACTGTACAACAGAGTTGTTCACCGTCAAAGATGGCATCCTAGCCAATATACGAAGCTTGGAACGGCTCCTGATAAAACATAACAGAGATTCGTTGTCTATTACATTTAACAAAACAAGTCTGAATAATGATCTACTGCCTCTATACACTAAATTGATGGATATGCACACACACACACACACACACACACACACACACACATATATATATATATATATATATATATATATATATATATATATATATATATATATATATATATATATATATATATATATATTTATATATGTAGGCTACTCAGATGTGAGAATGCACTTAGAGTGCAGCCACGGACCTACTTCTAAGTCATCTTCCGAGATTAGATGTCAAGATAATCACTTTTAAATTATTCAATTCTTTTTAATATGATTTACATTAAAGCCGAGATCACGGTAGAATTATGGATAGCGGCTCGGATTGAGGAATCGGAGAGCCGAGTTCGAATTCCAGTCCAATCCATTGTAATCACTTACGTGCTAATATCCATGGAAAAGGTGTGAATTCTCTTCTCTCCACCAGCTATGGATAAATAGCAGGACAGACTGGGTTCTATAGCCTTGGATGGCAACTGGTCTACTGCAGAAAGAAATGGTAACCTACTACGGGAAAAATCTGCCTCGTCAGTCATGTATCGGAAGATATATGATCGCCTAAGCGTGTATCACGTATTTGTACATAACTGAATGAGAAATGTTATATCTCGCCAAATAGGAGTTTAGACAGCAACGGCTTCGTGGAATTAACTAAGTCTATTTTTTATTCTTCGCCTTTTCAGTTAAAGAAAGCCTCATCGCTGTCTGTTTCTCTCAGGTGACCCCGATACTTCCCACAGATGTCTAATCATATGAGATACGGATTAAAATTTATTGTCAGTCGAATGACACTTTGGCTAGCAGAGAAGTAAGAAAAGAGAAAATAAACTTCTCTACAATAAATACGTAAGTAGCACAGGTAGCAATAGCCAATAACTGTTCCACTTTGCTACTTTGTGATACCGACTCCCGAGAGGATGCTTCCTGATCAAAAAATTTAACCTCTTCAAATTTTGAGTCAACAGTTATCTATCATATATGCTCATGATCTGCACTTAGCTCCTTTTACTGCGTCCATACAGGTTCACTCAGTGACACTCTACATTGAGTGGATCTTGTGTCTTTTTATGTGAATATTTAGCAACAAAAAAAAAGAAAACCTCTTGCCAAAGATAACCGAATCATCAGAATCAAATAGATTGAATACAGAAACAAAGAAAAATAAATGAAAAGAATAGGAAATGTGTAGCAGATGTTCACTCACAACTAAATATTGTCCCTGATATTTGAATATCGACCCGAGGTCCACGTCAACAATGCCTTTGACATGCTCCTCATCGTTGTTATCAGCCGTCGGCCCGCCACACGTTTTCCTCTTTTCTCTCGCCTCAAGGGCCCTTCGCAAATGATAGTGTCCGCCAGCCCTTGAACTTCTTTTCTGTCACACGGCTATTGCTATTAACACCCCTAAAATGACACGCACGGACACACTTTTTTTTTTGTCTCTCTCTCCCTTTCCTTCCAGAAAATTCGGACACAACATGATGATTACTATGAATATCAAGCTGACCAGCGAGTGGACAGTGGCTCAATATTTTACCAGTACAGCAACATCAAAGCAAAACTCTATTTAAAAAACAATAAGCGAAAAATCTCAACAAGAATTTTTGGAAAATCGCCCTGTCCTTTCAACACGTTGACAATCATAGCTTTCCAGAATATTCTCCAACTCCGAGCTATATAGTGGAGTAGAGTGGGCTCTCTAGTTAAGTTGGTAATATTTATAAAT